TAGAGGATCCAGTGTGAGCTAAACAAATAGCTTACAGTCTAGCGGAAAGCCAGATAACTCTGCGACTTAAGAGGGAAGGAGGGTAGCGTGTCAATCTTGATGGTCCTTTGGGGCTGGAAAGTAGAGTAGACACAGGCAGGAGTCACCTGCTACAAGGCCTGAGGGTGCAGCCCACTTCATAAGGACTACATCCTGGGAGCAAGGTGAAGCCACGGAAATATTAGCTCTCACTGGGTACCCACACGACCAGATTTTCACTTTTACAGGATTGTTCTGACCACAGTGAGGAGAGCAGAGGGGGGAGCAGCAAGAGGGGATGGGGGAGCCGCCCTGTCTCCCCAGGGGAAGCCTTGTGCCTCCACACGGCCTCCACGTGGCACCCGGGCTTTACTTGCTCTTACTTCCGCCTTTCTTCGCTGCAGTTATCCCCTCGGGCAGGCAGGCCTCAGAATCTCCATGGTCTCCCTTCCCACGGTTCGTTTTCCTGTGCCTATGATATGCATTGATGTTGCCTTATTTTTAGAAAAAGGCAACATCCTTCATTGAAGCTTCCTGGTTAACAAAATTCAGCCCCTCTTGGATTGAATTTTCTATACCCGTTGCCTCTACTTCCTCAACTTGAAACATAAGTGCTGTTTAAACTCCGAGGCTTAGATGATACACCATTTTCAAAGGCCACTTCCTAGACATTCATTGGTTGTTTCTTCAGCATCTATGTCTTTGACCCAATGGCTTATTTCCCCTTGAGGATCCATGAGGTTCTGGGAAATTATGGAGTTGGAGCACATGACTTAGGTAGGCCAATCAATGCAGTGGATCTCCTGATGACAGTGATTGGTACAGGGGTGGTCATGTGACCCAAGCTAGTTTAATCAGAATGAGTTGTAGGGTGTTTGCTTGGAATTCTTGGAAAGAGATATTCTTCTTCTGAACACTGTGCCCTGTGGATTTATACCTTTTATTTAGTAGACCTTTAATAGCCAGCTTATATTAGTGTTACCTGCACCATCCTGGCTCTTCTCTGACCTCTAAGAAGTCTCTCTGTTAGATCTTTCTCTTTCCACATTCTAAACATGGGCATTTCCACAGATTCTGTCCTCAAGCCTTGAGTGTTTTCTCCCTTGAAGAGTTTGTGTAGGTCCATGGCTTTATCTCTCCATTTTCTATCAGTATGACTCAAATCTACGTCTTTAAGTGTCTCTCTCTCAAACATCAGCCCCATATTTTCTAACAGAATGCTAGATATTTTCATCCAGATGTCCCGTCAGCCCCTCAGAACAACTTGTCTGAAATAAAATTACCAATAACTAAAAAGAAAAACGAGTAAAGGAAATGAGTTTATAGAAAAGGAAATAGGAATGCCTCTTAAATATAGGAAAACGTACCCAAACTACCTCATAATAAGAAATAAAAATTAAACTATGCTGAGGACACACTAAGACATGTTCACACAGAAATCAGTACATGAATATTTACAGCAGTTCTACTAATAATCACCAAAAACTTGAAGTTACCACAACGTCATTCAGTGGGTGGATGAGTAAACAAACTGTGCTACAAGCAGACAATGGACTATTTCTCAGCAATAAAAGCAACCAACTACTGATGTGCGTAACAGCTCAGATGAAATCGCAAAGTTACGCAGAGCGCAAAAAGCCAGTCTTTAAGGGCTACCTGCTGTATGGGTCTATTTACACGAAATTCTCCAAAAGCTATAACTATAGTGACAGAGACTGGATCTGTGGTTGCCAGGGTCTAGAGGTGGGGGCAGTGTGCGACTATTAAAGGGATAGTTAAAGAGGGAGTGTTTTTGGGTGATGGAACTGTTCTGTATTGTGGGGGTGGTTACTTGAATGTATACATGTGTTAAAATCCATTTAACATACGCCCCCATCAATTTTACTGTTAATTTAAAAATTAGATTTCAAAACAAAAATTTTAAAGCTGGTTGGCTCTTTTTATTTTTTTTGCAACTGAATAATATTGTTGAGCATCTACTGCTGTGTGTAAAGCAGTGTTCTGGACGCCAAGAGGTCCCAACATGTCCCCCCTGCCCCTGCCCCTGCCCCTCCCCCATACTGCTGAGAATGTCCCCCTCACCTATCAGCATTAACAACAACCCAGAAGGTTGACAACATTCTGTTGATGAAACAGGATAAGTAAAAAGGCACTCGGTCCCTTAATCACATGGATGCAAAATGGCACAACCCTGATGGGGAGAAATTTGGCAATATTTTAAAACATNGTGAAGACCCTAACTCGAGAGACAGGCTGATTCTCCCCCAAAGTGTGTGCGTGGTGATGATGGGCTAAGATAATAAATCAGTGCTTCAGTGGCTCAGGCCCCGGACCACAAAAGAGACCTCGTTAACTAATTGTTTACACTCACTTTTTAAGGAAAATGTTGCTATTTGTAACTTATGCTTAGCAACTGAACAGGAGGCTAGAGAGGGAAGCCACAGGTGTTTGCATAACGACTGCCTTCCTGAGTCTAGGAGGACACACTGTCGTGGGTGTCAAGGGTGGTGTGTTTGGTTGGCTTGTTTTCCCAAAAGAATCTGACGATATTCCTGCATTAATTACCTTTAAAATTGCCAAGAGATAAGAGGTGGAAAGATGGAAGGGGAGCCCCTGATTCTATTTAGTAGCTGAGAAATACAATTACAGAAGGGAACTGAGAAATGGAGGAGCGATGTCAGGGAGGCCTTGACAGGATCAAGCAAGGTCCCGAGGTCTAGTCCCTCTTTGTCAGGCTCAGGAAGGATTAAGTTCACCAGTTCTTCTTCGACTGATCCACTTTCACATGCAGGCGACAATGCCGTCCCAGGTTGTAAGGAAGCCAAAAAGAAAAAGCTGAAGATGGGCAGAGGGCTTCTTCCCAAGACACTCTGAAGCAGAAGAGAGCAGGACACAGAGAAGCCCCGAGGTACCCGCCTTTGATGAAGGTTAACCCCCACCTGCCTGGCGCAGTGCGGGCCACCCGCTGGTTTCACGGATCGGAAGAGGGTAGTAATGGTACCTGGAATCCTGCAAATGTACCGACAAGGAAGAGCAGATCCATGTTCAGTCTTTACACCGGCAGACGCTGGCTCTTACCCATGACCTCACAGCTCTGCCCCCGTCTTTCACGGCTTCACAGTGAGGTTTGCAGTGCTCTTACCACCCAGGCGGGCAGCCTAATTTGTTCATAATGACACGAAAGTCACCCTGTCTAAGGAATGCAGTTTTACTTGGTGCCACCCTTTCTCCCAGCCCAAAGTTCCAAGCCCTGCTGGGCAAGGTGGCAATTGAAATGTTCCACCTCTGGTTTTCCAGATGCTGCCCATCTCCCAGAGCCCAGTGGGGCTTGTGGCCATTCCTGATCCAGAACCCCAGTTCCTGCCAGCCCAGGACTTGGTCCAAAGTCCAAATTATAATAACAGACAGGGTGGGGAACCCTTAAAGAATGTGACTAGGTTTTAGCCTGGCTTCACCTGCAGCATGACCCTTACAGACTAATGGTTCCTACGAGGCATTTTCCCCTTTCACACAGCAGTAGCATTTATCACAGATATCAGCAAAACGGACGTAACTTAAGGACTGTTTTTTCTTTTTAAGAAAAAAAATCTGTTGTCAGGACTTGCTCACCCAATGTCTTGGCTCTTGTCCAGAGGGCTAATTTCCAACTGTTTGAGGGTCAAAGTAATCCCAAAAACCTGTGCAGCATTGGCACAACGGTGGTAGCACAAATGCCCACAGACGTGTAGGTGACAAACTTGTAAGGCACTTCGATCTCCAGTCTCCGCCTGGCCTCCTTGTTCCTGGTGACCACCTTGAACCACGAGTACAACACTTGCAGCGAGAGATTTTGTACAAGTTGACGGACCAGAAGGATCAACACAATCCCCACTGTAAACTTGGTCAGACCCAAAAGTAACATGTCAGCGGTGAGCGGGGGGATGTTTTGAACAACGGGAAGAGAGTCCGTGGGCTTGGACATGAGCTGGAAAAAGTGGTTGAGCCAGAATCCTATGGTCACCCCAGCCCCGGCAGCCACAATGGTGGTGGTGTCCGCTCTGGTTGGGGTGTAGTAATCAGACACAGGGTAGTTGTAACACAAGAAGAAGGGCACCACTATGGCACACACAGGGAAGAGAGGGCTGGCCGAGTCCAGGTGGTCAATAAGGGTCCAGGCGGGCTGGGTGAAGACAATGAGGATTGCGGTGAGCAGGACGCCACCCAGCACATCCTGCAGGAAGGAGAGAAAAGAATGCCGTAAGCCAACGAGTGCTTCCCTGTCTGCAGGGAGAATTCGGAGTCAAACATGGTTGATTTGACATTGAAAACCCTATTTTTCTATTGCTTTATAATACAGGTTTAAAAAAGGTAAAGGAGCCAAAAGTTGAAAGTAGGAAAAATGCAAACACCGATCGCACTATTCACATNAATTAAAAATCTTAATGCCACTACTTTAAAACATATAAAGTAAGGCCTTCCCAAGCTAATCTGCCCTTCCGCCCCCAGTCTCCCGAGGTAAGTTACCACTGTTAACAATTTAGCGCATGTTGTTTTTGCCATTTTCCCTTGTCAGCTTCACACATGCTCACAGTTTGTGAGTCAGGCTCTACTTACTGGTTTGCAACAAGTTTTGATTTTGAATTTACCTACTCTATCTCATGACATTTCACTTAATCCGTCCCATTTTTTCAGCCCCAGTACCTGCAGACCTTGTAAATGATGCAATATTCCATTGTGTGGATGTCTAATTTGGTCAGCTAGTCCTCTGTTGATGGACACTCTGTGGTTTCCAGCTCTGCAATTACCAACAGCGCTCCCATGGGCTCCGATGTGCCTCCCCTACAATAGCACTGGCTTAGGGGACCACGAAAAACCAGTCCTAAAGGCTGCAAGACTATAAACAACATTGGGTGTTGGATGGACACCTTCCCAGATGCCTGCGGTTACTTAGATATCTCTTAGATGTGACTTTTGTGCTTGAGCAATGTATTATCCTAGCACTGGAGTCCTACACGTGCAGGAATGTTGAATGACCGTCCTTACCTTTTAATGAGGAGGAGCCTAACTAACCAGCTAGCCGAACTGCTGCTTCTGCCCTCAGCAGCGATGGCCCTTTGGGTCGGTAAAGAGCATTGCTCACAATTTTGCTTCTCAACCTTTGCCTCTGTGCTTGGCGTTTTCTATACACGTCACCAGCCTCAGTGCCTGGGTACTGACTTGGCTTTTTTGTTCAGCTTATCCAAAGGCAGACAGGTGCCTTAAACGGACACAACTGCCTTCAGCCAAGTATGTCCTCTAAACGACAAAAGCATTTGACACATCCGCTCTCTTCCAAGTTATGACTTATTATGAGCGGTTAGAATAACTTTATATTATTAAAGAAAAAAGAGACTGCCATATGTCATAAAACAAGGCAGCAGCACACCCCTGACAGTCTCTGAGCCGCCCCCAAAGGCCCCCCGACGGGAAAACGGGCTTCCTTGGGTAAAGGCAGAGGAGCCAGCAGGCCAAGGCTTGACAGACAAGCCCGGCTGCAAGCAGCGGAAGCAGACCCAAAATGAATTTTAGTTCCCGCTGCTGCCACAGACTTCTCTCTGACTTTCCAGTAAACAGAAAGGATGCTGTAAACATTGTAGTGAGACTGTGGGTTGACAAAGTATCTCCAGCAAAGGGTTTAGTTGAATTACGCGTCTAGCTAAAGCCCTGTATGTTTTTTCTCCCCCCTGTGACCAACGCAGTGTGGTAAGAACATGCCCAAGGTCTACACTCAAGTTTTTCACTCCACCCATCAGGTCGGGCCTTGACCGTCTCTAAGGAAATCAGGAAGATGATGTGATTCTGCGTCAGGAAACTGAAACAGCCCCGCAGCGTCGGGAGGCACTTGTCTATGGCATTCAAATTACCATAGGACTTGTCACACGCAAATCTATACGAAGCAAATCTATTCCTTTTTTAAGACAGAAAAGTGAAGATGTTGACGATCTGTGTCTGTTTGATACCAAACCTCACAGCAAAAGGAGTTTCCTACATTCCACAAGTCACAACTTTGTCATGAGGAATGAAAATGCGCCTGCCCCTAAAACAAGCACTTGCTTGGGGCTGGCAAGAAACCAGTTCCAAAGGATGCAAAGCTGGGTGAACAACCATGCTGTGCTGGNCACGGTATGGTCACACAGTGGAGTAGGATATGGAGGTTCTGACATAGAATTTTAAAAACCAGGGTGCAGAACAGCATGTATAATAACACTACCACTTCCATTTAAAAAAAGGTGGGAGAACACACAGATACATTTTTACTTGAATACACAGCACGCTTATGTGCCTTTTGAATTTCATATCATGTAAATCTATTGCCTCCTTAAACAATTTAGGTAAAATAAAATTCAGTCTCTCCTTCTGCAAACAGGGTCTGTCTTTGAATTCCCATATGAAGTGGGGGATCCCAGGTGAGCCTGGCAGTGTCTTCTGCAGGGGACTGGGCACACATGGTGAAGGGGGGAGGAGGTGGCCTACCCGAGGCCTGAGGGTATTTTGCCTGAGTGCTTTAAAGGAACATGCATTTTGAGGGTGGGAAGAGAGCTCAACACCCCAAAAATAGCGTCTCCTCTCCCAGCCGGGACAGAAGATCCTGCCACTCAGGTTGTCTCCTGGCAGCCCCACTGGACTTCATGTCTGAGTCCTAAGTGACTCAGAGAGGATGATGAAAGGGCCATTTTGCCTCAGTCCAGAAAACACAGAGCTGGAGCATGTTGCTTTGAAACCCCTCTGGCAGAGGGCTCTCCAAAGGGAAGAATCCATTGTTTCTCGTACCCGAGGCCACAGTGCCCTACGCGGGCACTTTCTGACACCACCTGGCAGGACAAAGGCAGAGCACCTGTATGGTTCACTATGGCCCTTGAACCACAGTCATGGGCATGGACCTGCTTTGCCTGGCAGGACAGCTGCAGATGCTGGTGACGTGCAGACCAGCAGGAAAGGGCGCTGACCCCGGGCAGGGGCTGCAGTACTCAGAGTGACAGCAGCATCTCCTAGAGCAGCTGGGGGCAGTTACTCCAATGTCAGGGAGCTGCTGGGCCAGCAGTGCCGTGGGCAAGACCGAGGTGCCCAAGGGCACAGCCTGGGCAGAGGGACGGACCCAGCAGAACTGTCCTGACACCGGGTCATCAGACAGAGCAACAGGGGCGCTGGGGGTGAGATTCCCTTGGAAAACTCCAGACATATTGTGTGGGGACGCTTCTGTCAGGGCTGGGGGGTAAATCACAGTTTTCCAGAGGGCTAGAGGTTCAGGGTGATCCTGCAGGAGCTCAGGGAAATTCAAACATGACACGAATTTCTGTTGGCGGCACCCCAGGCTCCCTGCTCACAAGCCCAGAGTCCTGATGGTGATATCTGACTGCTCCTTCCTCTTGCTCTCACCACCCATACCCGCCAGTCACGACTTCCACAGTCCCCCTCCATTCTTCATTCACAAGCTCCCGCTCCTACCATCAGAGTTCAAACCTTCATTTCACCTCCTGCCTCCCACTCTCCTGCCCCAAAGCATCCACTGACTGCATTCCTGATGGCTGTTTCAATAGCAGGTGTTCCCCAAATGTGGTGTGCACTGGCGTCAGCCAGGAAGATTTGAAAATGCAGGTTCCAGGTGGCTGTCCTCTGATTCTGAGCTGACAGTATAGCTCTAGGGTCTGCATTTTAACACCCCAAGGAAATACTGATGTAGCAAGCCTAAAGAGAAAACTCTGAGAAACACCAGCCTATTGATTGAGAGTCAATCCTGCATGCTATGGGCTTAATTTAAGCTATTGTTCCAGGGTTTTCTCACTGCTTCCCAATTTGAACTTTCCACTCCAGTCAGTAGGTCTACTTTCTTTCCCTAAGCATGCCTAGGGAATTTTGATCACCATGGTTCTTGCACTCCTATTATGTACAGCACACGTTACCTAGTAAGATCTTATCAGTTCACGTAAGACTCAGCTCAAAAGCATTTTCATGTAGCCCCACAGCTGGAAATAAACTTTCCTTGAACTGAACGTGAAGGCACTTGCTTAATATCACTGAGAAGGCCCTTTCCTTATGTTGCCTTTGCTGCAGGTTTACGAGTTCACATGCTTTTCCCGTGTTGATTATAAAACTCCAATCAGTAAGGGTGAGTTCTCTGCATATTTTCATTATTCCTCCAAGCTCCTCATGTAATGCCTAACAGGTAGGAGACATTCAGTCATTCATTCTCTCATTGAGAGAATTCGATGTCTTTCTCTTATCCTGAGTATCCATAATATATAATACCCATTGTTCCATACATATAAGAAAATTTGCCTTCCTTCCCTCTGTCTTCCTTTGTAATTGGCAGTTACCAAATTCCCAGGCATTCGTTGGAATAGTCTTTATAAACGGATTCTGTTCATCTTCAATGCAGCAGGAGACTAGACTATTTTGGTCCACAGCCCCAGCCTTTGAGATGAAGGTAATTTTCGTCAACATCGCTGCTGGTGTAGAGTTTCTTTCCTTCTAGCCACACAGTTGTATTTTCAGCCATAAAAGGTGATATTGTAGTAAAGACGTTTTAGGTATTTTTATAAGGAAAATGCTTGAGCCATCGCTAATGAGCCTTCTACTTTGGGCCTCTAAGTTTCTAATAACAAAACTATTCTAGACAACTTCTACAAATAAGAACTGTAGTGCTTGAACATTCAAGGACAATTTTTTACGTGAATTTTTTCAAGCTACTAAGTTCACAGAAACTATTAAAAGCTCACCAAATCTCCATTTTGGAATTGGATCTGCTGTTTTGATTTTGGCAAATTTGAAATCAGGAGGTGATTTCTCTGGAACTGCACCAGAGGTGATTACTCTGGTGTATCTGGCAGAGTACACCAAAAAATGAGATAAAAACGCACGCTGCTTTCTTATTTAATAATACAGCATAGACATTTTCCATTAGAAAACATACATTTCTGCAACCTCTTTTTTTTTATTTCAAAGTAACCAACCATAAGTGAGATATATCAAGGAAAATACAAACTTTACCGAAAGTATGATCCTAATTTTATTTTATTTTATTTTTTTAGCTGAGCCATCCTGCCACCTGTTGGCAGCTCAGCAACAGCTCAGCTCGGGCCAGGACTCGAACCGCTGTTGCTCAGAGTTCACACTCTTGAGCAAGCTCTTAACCAACTGAGCCACTCGGCAGGCCAGGATGGTCCTAATTTTACATAGTATATATTTGCATGT